TAACCATTTTGAGTGTGAAAGCGATCCGGTTTCAGTAGGAGTGAGATGGGAAAAGTGGAAAAGAGCCCTAGAAATATACTTCTTAGCTGCCAATATTGAGACAGAAATTTAATAAACAAACAAAGGAAAATGCTGAAGTGGACTATGTTTTCCAATTAGATGACGATGCAGTTTTTGATGAAATTTGGCGGTGTAATCATTGATATGCTGATTGATTCAGGTAGTAAATGCAATATTATTACAGACAAGACATGGGAACATCTGAAAAGTCATAATGTGGAAGTCACGAATCAAATTAAGAATCCTGGGAAGATATTGTTACCCTATGGTAGTCAAAAGCCTTTAGATGTACTCGGTGCTTTGGATGCTAATATAACAATTAATGGCCGCCTTATACAAAGTGCCACTTTCTATGTTATTTGGAATGGAACACGTAACCTTCTGGGAAAGACAACTGCAATTCAACTCAACGCTCTTAGAATTGGTGTTCCTGTTAATAATATCATTACCTTCCCCAAATTCAAAGGCATTACAATCCAGATCCCTATCAATAAGAAAGTGAAGCCGGTTATTCAACCGTACAGAAGAATACCAATTCCTTTCGAGGAAAAGGTTAACAGGAAGCTAGTCGAACTTCAAGAAGCTGATATAATTGAAGAGGTCAATGGACCATCACCGTGGGTGTCTCCAATGGTGCCAGTATTAAAGGAAAATGGTGACATTCGGATATGCATCGACATGAGGGCAAACGAGGCTATCATAAGGGAAAATCATCCACTCCCGACAATGGATGAACTCTTGCCCAATTTCAGGCAAGCTAAATATTTTTCAATAAGTATTTATTAAGAATGCTTTTCACCAATTAGAGATTGATGAAGACAGTAGGTACATCACAACCTTTAGTACCAGTAAGGGCTTGTTCCGATATAGGAGACTAATGTTTGGTGTGTCGTGTGCACTCGAAATGTTTCAAAATGTCCTAGAAAAGTTGTTGCTAGGTTGTTAGGGCTCTGCAAATTTTATAGAAGATATTATCGTCCATGGATCTAATGAACTTGAGCATGACAGACGCCTCGACAAAGTACTACGGACGTTGAAGGAAAATAATGTTCTCCTCAATCATGCTAAATGCATCTACAAGACAAACATGATTGAATTTTTAGGACATCAACTAACGGCAAGAGGAATAAAGCCTCTAGACAAATACATAAAAGCAATCCAGTCCACAAAAAAGCCTTCAAATATCGAAGAAATACAGAGTTTTCTTGGGCTAGTCAATTATGTTGGAAAATTGATACCCAATTTGGCATCGCTTACAGAACCCCTTCGGAAGCTGATACGCCTTAAATTGGGCAAGTCTGTTAAGATTCAAAAATATTGGGCAGCCGCTCAGGACAAGGCATTTGAAAACCTTAAGAGACGGCTCTCGCGTATACAAACGTTAGGTTATTACAATCCAGCGGACAGAACGCAAGTAATAGCTGATGCGTCCCTAGTTGGACTAGGAGCAGTGCTCATTCAAATTGATAGTAACTGCTCCCGCGTGATAGCGTTTGGTAATAAGAGTCTTACTGATTGTGAGAAAAGGTACTGTCAGACGGAGAAAGAAGCCTTGGCACTGGTGTGGACAATATCTATTGGGCAAAGAATTCGAACTAATTAGTGATCACAAGCCCCTAGAAGCTATTTTTGGGATCAGGTCTAAGCCTTGTGCACGCATAGAGCGCTGGGTTCTGCGCCTGCAGGCTTACAAGTACCAGATCGTTTACCGTCCAGGCAAAGAAAATATCGCCGACTCTATCTCCCGACTTTGTGAATCGATTCATTCGGTACCATTCGATAATGAAAACTACATAAATGCAGTAGTAGAATACAGTAGGCCAATCGCAGTACCACTTAATGAAATCGATATAGCTAGTACATCAGATAAGGAAATTGCAGCACTAAAAAATGGAATATTCGACAACAAGTGGGATGGATGTGTAAATTCTTATAAGGTTTTCCAGTCGGAGATTTGTTTCCACGGAAACATAGCCCTCAGAGGAAGTAAACTTATTATTCCCAAACAGCTGCGTGAGCGAGTACTCGAGGCCGCCCATCAAGGACATCCATGGCATTGTTGCCATGAAAACTCTCCTCAGAACCAAAGTTTGGTGACTAAAAATTGATAGATGCTAAAAATAGCGCTTGTAAAATGTGCACACTCGTTTCAGCACCCAACCCACCCCATCCGACAAAGAGACGAGAACTTCCAGTAGAGCCTTGGATTGACGTGGCAATAGACTTCTTAGGACCCCTACCATCAAATGATTATTTACTTGTCCTAGTCGATTACTACAGTCGCTACAAGGAGGTAAAAATAATGAGGAATATTACGGCTATAGAAATTATTAAGATACTCAAAGAAACATTTTCCCGACTGGGATAACCTGCAACATTAACATGTGATAATAGTAACCAGTTTACTAGCGAGAACTTCAGAGCATTCTGCAAAGAGTGCGGCATTGTAATGTACAACACAATTCCTTATTGGCCACAGATGAACGGCGAAGTCGAGCGCCAAAATAGAGACGTGCTTAAGCGGTTCAAAATTAACCAATTAGAAAAAAAGAGTGGAAAGATGACCTTTTAGTATATCTTATTATGTACAATAGCACCCCTCACACGACAACCGGAAAAACTCCTGCTGAACTTTTCTTTCGGAGACAGTTTAGAGATAAAATTCCTATGGCAGCAGACATTGAACATAACATTATAGATTTGGATGTCAGAGACAGGGATAAAGAAAAAAAAAGGGAAAGGAATATGCGGATAGGAAGAGGAAAGCAGTAGATAGTTACTTTGAAATCGGAGAAAAAGTATATGTAAAAAACATGACTAAAGAAAACAAATTAACTCCTAATTTTAACCCAGAGACACATACAGTAACAGATGTAAACGGTGGGGATATTACAGTAAGGAATGATTCAACGGGAAAGAATATCGCAGGAATGTTGTCCACCTTAAAAGAGTAGAAAACTGTTAGTGGAAAATTATTGATCAGAGTGCAGAAAGTGAAACAGATGCAGAAGGCAACCAACACGGAGAATAATTTTTATTATTTGTACGAATCATCAATTTAATTAATGTTTAAATCTGATTAAAACTCTTGTCAAGGTAATGTTAACAGTTGTTTTATTTTAACACGGAAGGGATGTAGTATACAGGTAGTGGGGGTTATTCGATTGTCTAGTATATTTTCAGTGACCTATGGGAGAGGTCACTAGACAGTCAACGGCCGTGGCGAGCGGACGTATTCAGTGTGTCTGAACTAACGGAGTGATTAAATGTAACTATACCTTAGTGTCAGTGTTATTGAGCATTCTACAGAAATCCTGCGAAAATATCAAATATGTGAAGAATTCGCTACACTTAGTTAACAATTAGGTTTTATTATAGAAACCTCACGGCTGGCACCCCGTCGGCACCACGTGTGAGGCACATGTGTAGCTTATAAGTGAGTAACATGTTGGTGATCGCGTTTGCTTCGTGCCATCCTCTTCACATACATTTGTTAACTTTTAGGACTCTTCAAGCGCCTACATTTTTTTAATATTTTAGAGCCGAACTTAGGGTTCGTGACAATAAAAGCTGCCGATTGAATTACCAAAATTGACACTTTAATTACTGAACACCAATTACAACATAAAGCACACTAATAAAATAATCACACTGATCACTTTATTTCGCTCCGAAGTCTTCGCTTGAATCGCCAATTCAATACTGACTCGGTCGCGGTCCTAAACGGCCTTATATAGAACCTTTTCCACTGAAACATCTAGAATATTTGAGCACATACCGGTCCCGACCGATTAGGTATATAGTATGGAATTTTCTAGAAAGATTAGTTCTATTCGATACTAGATGACGCTAGTGCCATGTACCAGGCATCAAATATGGCGCGCAACACTTATATGGAACAACCCGTGAGTTCATAAAAGAAAAACATAAAAATAAGTTTGTAAGTGAAAAGAACCAGTAGAGCGATTGTGTAACTTTAATGGTAAACATGATTTCATAGTAATACATTGTAAGATATGATTTTGTATCCTAAATGCGAAGATTGCAGAATTTAATTTCGAAGATGGTGTTGGTAGTAGTAGTAACGGGATTAGTGCACGCAATTGAGGGAGGGCGGGAGGTGCTCTTCAATTCAGGTAAGACACATCATTGTATTTAATTAAGCGGATGGTTGCAAATTAATATCTTTATTTTAATTGTTATGATGGATTTCCGTAAAGTAACGCCTGATTCTATCAATTAAGTAAATAAAATTTAGTGTCTCTGTATAAGCGCGTACACTTAACATTCGACAGTACCGTAGTTACAACTTTTAGATACTTTATCGAAAATACTGTCCACCAATGGAGGTTTTTTTTATTATGTAGAATAAGGGTTACATGCGAGCACGCAGTCCACCTGATGGTGAGTGAATACTGTGGCCCACAGATAATCTACATCTATATATTGATTAAGAATTATTATTTTTTATAATACTATCATAGACACCTACATCTATCCTCAGTTCAGAATCGTAATGCATGTGTTGTAACCCCTAAGGACTAAGATGTAATGAAATGCCTCCGGTTCTCTACACTCACTATACGAAACAGTAGCATAAAGCTTCTGTGGGTCCGTGGAATTCTACCTTTAAAGTTGACCCATTCGTACTACCAACATAACATAGCTGTCCTCCTTATGTGCTTTCAACTGGAGATTAGGATTAATCCAATCTATATGGTAAGATTGGTCTAATCTATGGGGAGGCCTATGAATAGCAGTAGACTTTAATAGGCTGTAATGAATAAATGAAAGAAAAAGAACATATTATGTATCTGATAAATTGAACCAGTCGCACTTGAACCATCTCTTTCCTGTTACTCTATCAAAAAAAAAAAGACAAAGTCTATGCACAACAATGGGACATATATGTTACTTTATTTTAATCTTTACCTTTGCAGGGTCACCAGCCTATATATCACCGGATGTGCTGATGTGCAAGCCTTATTTAGGAAAACCTTCAGATATGTGGGCACTTGGAGTAGTCTTATATACAATGCTATATGGACAGTTCCCATTCTGCGACACTAGTCTTGCACAACTGTTCAGTAGGATACAGGCCGCCAATTATAATATACCGCCGTGAGTATATTTTAAACTGTCTGTTATTAACCTAACATTAACATAGACCTCTCCAATGGGGAGGTTTCGCCCCAATTGCCATGCTTCGCACGGAGGCAGACTGGGCTTTCTATTATATCTTCGATTTCATCATCATCATCATTACAGTCCTTCACAAATCCACTGCTGAACATAGGCCTCCCCCAAGGTATGCCACAAAGCACGGTCCTGAGCACCCTGCATCCATCGACTTCCTGCATGTCTTACCAGGTCGTCACTCCATCTAGTGGGGGGTCGCCCTACACTTCGCCTACCGTGGCTGCCCCTCGAAAACCTTTTTTCCCCAACGGTTGTCGGTTCTTCGAGCTACATGACCGGCCCTTTGCCACTTCAGCTTACTAATCCGTTGGGCTATGTCGGTCACTCTGGTTCTACTGCGGATATCCTCATTTCTAAGTTTATCACGCAGAGAAACCCCGAGCATAGCCCTCTCCATAGCTCGCTGAGCGAGTTTGAACGTCCTCATACAGCCTCGTACGTCTGTTCCGTAGGTCCTTCACTGCTGGCCGTATCTTCGATTTAGGTCAAAATAATTATTGTATGTTATATCAATGTCACTCTGTGAATGTTTTTTACTGATTTGTAAACATTTTATTATAAATAATATTTTAAAGTATAATAATTGAAATAAAAATATTGAAATTGCATGATTTAATTGTTTTTGTTGGATGAAATTGTAATTATGTTTGTGCAACATATTTGTGCGATAAAGTAAACGAACTTAAGCCTTATCACACTATTAAAGTTCCAGTTATGTTCAGCCGTGGGTTTTTAAGCCTATGTTCAGCCGTGGGCTTTTAAGCCTATGTTCAGCCGTGGGCTTTTAAGCCTATGTTCAGCCGTGGGCTTTTAAGGCTATATTCAGCCGTGGGCTTTTAAGCCTATATTCAGCAGTGGGTTTTTAAGCCTATATTCAGCAGTGGGCTTTTAATGGGTTTTGGACTTGTGATTTTGTATTGTTTTAATTATTTAAAAAAAATGAGATATAATTATTTTACAAAAAATGTATTAATTTTCAGGGACGGTAATTCGGTCCAAGTTTCTGATAATACAGTGTTCCTGATACAGAGGTTGCTGGTCAAGGACCCAAAGCACAGATTATTGGCAGATGATGTAAGTTAAATTTCAATAATTCGTATTGTGGGTTGTGTTTTTAATTTTTAGTATTATAATTTTAAGCAAAGCTAATATTGAATTTGTTTGAATGATTCTTCCTAGCCTAATATCGACCAAGGCGATATCATATCATCTATGACCAAGGTGATATCATATCATATTTCTAATAATTGCACAGTGTACACTCAAATATACTCAGTGTCTCAGTCGTCTTAACCCAACCCTTGTGCAATAGGATATGCAAAAAATGTTGAAGTAGTAAGCTATTACACGTAGACCTGGTATCTTCATGGCAAAGCACTCACCCTAAAATTCACAGTACCTGAGTATCCCAGACTCGATACTCGCTGGCAATAGTGAAATTGTTACGAGTTGATTTACCATGTGCTCAGCAGTCGTGGAACACCTTGTGAGGAAAGCCTTAGCAATAAAATATTACGGGGACGTGTGAAGCCCAAAAATAGGCACTGGAATGGCGCGGTGAACAAATGCTCCATAACCATCTCAGAAATGAAAAGAGACATTGTTGATTCCCAGTCTATATACATCACACTGCTGGAGTGTGATGTATATAGACTGGGAATCAACAATTGAACAATTTGTATTGAGGCATGGTATCTAGGTACTTTGAGCCACAGACAACGTGATTTATTTAATCGCACGATTGAAATATATTCATTGATTATTAAAGTCAGTTTATATTTTATGTTATACTATATTTGCCGTTTAACCTTTTATTTTACTCTTGACATAATCACTCCTATGAGAAGTGTCATAATTATTGACGAACAACCATATATAAAAAAAAAACTTGTGTGCAGTTCACACGTCAGAAGTGAAACTTACAGAAAACTAAACTTCGAGAGAATAAGATGAAACTACAGAGTATGAGGACTAGTATAATTGTAGGGTTTATTTTTTATAAACTTTGTTACAAAGTTTTAAAATATAGATATTTTATTCTACATTACATATTATCACAGTTTAAAGATCTCCTTACAGTTGGGAAACGAATGTACTTGTGCAGGGCAACGGTGGGGGCCTTACGGAGTAGGGGGCGGGTCGACCTTGTGCTAGCGCACTTCACTGATTCTGATGGAAAATACATGCGGTTGGCGTACTTAGTTAACTAATTTTAAGTGCCCTTTTCGAAATACGTAATATCTATAAAGGTGTTTTACTGTTATAGTTATATGAGTTACTAAGTGAAATTGAATTCAAAGCATCGCCAAGCTTATCTTGTTTTTGTTTCCCTCATTTCTTTTGATAAAATTGTTTCTAAATGTCTTTTGTGTGAATATAATGATAATATTTTTTTTAATAATATAATTGCATTCTATGAAAATTCCATATTCTTTCTTGAATACCTAATAATATTTAATATGTTCATATTTATTTTATAATATAGAATATCTTATAAAAATAATTTTACTAAGTCACTTAACGAGAAAAATTCTTAGTTCCACTACGTAGATGACAATGTTTTGACGAGTTCTAACAGTTACTAAAGTACACCTTCAGGTCACTCCGTCAAGTCTGGAGGTAAGGACTTATCACACCTAACAAAACGATCCCAAACTCGGCACACCTAGTAGTACTCGGCGACCAGATCCAATAGCGATTACCAAAGTATACCTTCAGGTTTCATACGTGGTAGAGCCATGCTGCAGTTATATTAGTAGTATAGTTGTAGCACGAATCGGTCGGCTCGACCGGGGAAGGACCACGCTCTCACAGAATACCAGCGTGAAATAGTAGCTTAATGCTGCTGTATTTCGTATGGTGAGTGTAGAGAACCGGAGACCCTTTTTACTGGAAACGAGGCATTCCATCTTAGTCCTCACGGGTGACAACGCATCTGCATTTTGATTCGTAATCGAGGATAGATGTAGATGTCTATGGGCCACAGCAACCACTTACCATCAGGTGGACTGTGTGCTCGTTTGTCACCCTATCCTATATAAAAAAAGGTCACTCCGTCAAGTACGGAGGTAATGATTCATCATACCTAACACAACGAGCCCAAACTCGGCACACCTAGTATTACTCGGCGACCAGTTCCAATAGCGATTACCTAAGTACACCTTCAGGTCACTCCGTCAAGTCCGGAGGTAATGACTCATCAAACCTAACAAAACGAGCCCAAACTCGGCACACCTAGTAGTACTCGGCGACCAGTTCCAATAGTGACTACCTAAGTACACCTTCAGGTCACTCCATCAAGTCCGAAGGTAAGAACTCATCATACCTAACAAAACGAGCCCAAACTCGGCACACCTAGTAGTACTCGGCGACCAGTTCCAATAGCGATTACCAAAGTACACCTTCAGGTCACTCCGTCAAGTCCGAAGGTAAGAACTCATCATACCTAACAAAACGAGCCCAAACTCGGCACACTTAGTAGTACTCGGCGACCAGTTCCAAATACGATTACCAAAGTACACCTTCAGGTCACTCCGTCAAGTCCGGAGGTAAGAACTCATCATACCTAACAAAACGAGTCCAAACTCGGCACACTTAGTTCTACTAGTCCAGGTGTTCCGGTATTAGTTACTGAAGTTCACCTACAGGTCACTCCTAGTCCGGAGGTAAGGTCTTATCATAACTGACAAAACCAGCCTAAAGTCCACAGCTAACATCACACTGCCAGTAGAGGGCTCCCAGTGCCAAGCAGTCTCTAGAGTAGGTATTCCTGTTTCGTATCTAAATCTAATTACTCTATGTATCTAAGTATATTTTTTTTATAGAAGAGGGGGCAAACGAGCATGCGGCTCACCTGATGTTAAGTGACTACCGCCGCCCATGGTCAACCGCAACACAAGGGGAATGCAGGTGCATTGCCGGCCCTTTAGAAAGGAGTACGCTCTTTTCTTGAAGGTCCCCAGGTCGTATCGGTCCGGAAAAATCGCTGGTGGTAAACTATTCAACAGAGAGGTTGTACGCGGGAGAAAACTCCTCTTGAAACGTACAGTGGTGGACCGCCAAGCATCCAGATGATGTGGATGGTATCGCGACGTTTGCCGCGTAGTGCGTTCACGAAATTTGGCGGCTGGGATTAATCCGAACAATTCTAAGTATATTTTTGAGGTATAAGAAATCAAAAACAAATTCGATCTTTCAAATTATCAAAATAATTTTATTTGACTACGATTCCCGCAGCCAACCGTGCGTACACTTGTGTGCGTGACTCATGTCAATGTAATAGTTCAATTCTATACCTATATCAATTTTGTAAGGCGTCCTTAAAAATCTTAACGTAAATACTGCGGCAAAAAAGAGCTACACGTCTCTACAGCACCAGGCCTCGGCCGGCAGTGACTGCACAGGCGTTTACGCAAACATCCGCACGTATTATTTCAAAAGTAAGAATATGCGATTTAAAAAAAAAACTATTAGTTGGACTAAAAAATTAAAACGCTATAACGTTAATATGTTGGATGTATAAAAATCTGACAAAAAATCAGAATGATTGCAGTATGGTTTTTACTCGTTAAAAATTTTTTTTAGAGGTATGTTTGTGATTTTTTTCTGTCGTATTAAATTAGTGGTATTATGTTTTCAACACACTATCTAACTAGCATATATCCTGGACAATATATATTTTTCTGGGTTTGTTTACTGCAGTGGATCATATACTTTGAGGCATTATAAAACTTGCATTTAGCGTCATGCCTCGTCTTAAGACTATTTCTAGACTGCATAACTAACTACACACATGTTTAAAACAAAACACTGTCGTGGAGAGAGATCGACGAGGTACTTTCGTACGCACGGTAACCAGACGCGTGCTACCGCGATCTGCGATTCCTGTGGGCAAGCGGGCGCGTATTTTGAACTACTCGTATGCCTACGTGCCTCGTGAATAATAATGTTCCTTCAGCGCGTCTCGCTACGCGCTCTCGTCGCGCCCTATCACGTGGTCCGTGTGGGTAGCGGTCGAGTTGATATGGCCACAGTAAAACAAGAGTGCATGAAGTACTATTATTTATTCTGTGGTCAAAGTTAAATAAATGATGAGTTGTCCGATTTCCGAGTTGTGGATTTGGCCGACCTATGAACTTGCCGCCCAGGGCATAGGCCCGGCTTGCCCGCCCCCCAGATCAGTGGCTGATTTCAAACTTGCAATTATTTGTAGGAGAAATTTATTATATCAGAAATAATTTTTTAAATAGATCCATATTAATATTATTAATTTTATTTACTACAAAATAAAAATTTTATTTTGTTTATTACATTATAAAAGAATGTAATAAACATAATAAAATTACTATATGTAAAATAAGTGGCGTTTCGCGCGTTCCTCAAACTCAATTCCGATACCCGCTCATCATTGTAGGACGTTGGTATAGGAAAAACCCCAAAATTCACGCGCATTTCAAGTGACCGCAAAGGTAGCGTATAGTATATGCCGACTGACTTATTTTGTTTTTCTGCCTATCTGATTATTCAGATTTATTTAAAACATGTTTTTAAATAAATACTCTAGTTGTCAAGAAAATATTAAAATTAAAGGTTATTTATCAACGGTCGATAAAAATGCCTATGTTAATAAGGTTTTTGTATTCAATAATAATTAGTAGATAGCCTTGGTAGCTCAGTTGCGCTCGCTATAAATTTCACGGTACGCGAGCAAGTTGGGTTCGATCCCCGCCGGCACCAATAAAATTGTTAATTGCAATTTTAAGTGCTCACTTATCACGTGCTCGGCGGTGAAGGAAAACATCGTGAGGAAACATGTAATGTACAATAAACCGTCAAACATATTTCACTATAATATGTTCTTTGACGCTTTTTGATACATTGGCAGAAAACAGTGTTTAAAACATGATTTTTTTTTAAATGAAAATCGCGTAAGTGCAAACTTACGGTAACTAAGACGCCCGAGCGCGCAGTTATCATTGGGATGAGTACATTTGCTCGTATAAGGCCGTTTCCATAATGAAATTCTTTTTTACAATATTGAAGTGACGTGCTTTTTAGTTCCAATTTATCAATATCGATATTTATTGAGCCCACGGATTATGTAACGAAAATTATTTAAGTCGATTTATTTTATTAAAAAGTATAAAATGAGGCAGTGGAAATAAAATATACATTTTATTTACATAAGTATATTATAATTATCATTAACATAAGTAATTAAGGTCAAATATTAAAGAAAACTTACATTCGATATTGAATGTTGATTGAATTAGAATATAGAAAAGAGCAAACAACTAAAATACTTTAATATTATTTTACTTGAAAATTGGAATCACCACTTGAATCCTGAGTAACATTAATTATTGTTTCTTGAGTACTTAAAATTGTTAAATTGAAGAGCACGTTCTTACTTAGACAATACTTTTTTTTATTCTTTCGACGACTCACACGCATTTTTGGCGCTGCTTCCTTTTTTATACGATAAAACAACAACAAGATATTCATTCTTATTGCTCACAAAACTTCAGGCATTCAGACAATATTACCGTCCATTCATCCGCAAACAGGTCGCACTCAGGATTTATGTCCAGAAAAGCATTGAGTGCGGTGAAATTTATGCTTTCGATTACGTCAGTAATTATTTGGTACGAAAATCGACACTCAGGTCTTAAACGTCTATCTTCCCGCGAATTATTTTACACGCTATGATAGCTTGTTGATACATTCGCCGTACTTGCAATGAGTTCTTACTCAGAGAACCGAGGAGAAATTTTGTGGGATATAAATATGGATAGTATCCATAAAGGCGCTTGTAAAGATATCTTAAAAAGACCTTTTGGACCTTTTCCGAAAGAAAAATATAAGTGCTTTCTTATGAATTCCAAACACAATTTCGAGTTTCGAGTGTAGCAGGGCACTGAATATTAAGCGTATAACGCTATCGTTACGAAACTAGCATTTCTGAGAACAAATCCCTAACTTTTGTATGATTCCTTAGCTAACGTTATCTACTGGAAACGAGCATTCCATCTTAGTCCTCACGGGTGATAACGCGTCCGCATTTTGATGTGTTATCGAGGATAGATTTGGGGTATATTCCAAAATAGAACCCAGTGTACTGTTCAATGCAAATGACGTCATGAATCGAAGCCATACTGATGAGTCGTTCCAAAAAATAGAACCTTATATGACGTCATACATTTGCGCCATATTGGAAAAGTGTTGGCGATTATTTTGTCATTTTGTTCTCCAAAAATCATTATATCTTCCTAATGGAGATACCAGCAATTATTCTATAATTTTATGTATTTGAATAATTAAAAACGAATTCTGGCATGCTTCATTCAGGGTACACACAATTAAAAATTGTTTAATAGGCCGGATATCCGGCACAATATGGCGGCGGCACGCCAGTACAATATGGCGTCAATTGATAACGTCATTTGTATTCGGCAGTATACTGGAAACGTTTCGGAACATACCCGTAGATGTCTATTGGCCACAGCAACCACTTACCATCAGGTGGACTGTGTGCTCGTTTGTCACCCTATCCTATAAAAAAAGTATGAGCGTGAAATGTGAGCTTTCGATCAAATATAACCCCTAGGTCTTTTATAGTGCCAGTCCGAGTCATAACATGATTGTTGATTTTATAATCGTAACAGATAGGGAACAACTTACGACCGTAAGATTTTGAGCGACACTTATCCAGATTAAACTCCATCTTATTCTTAACACTACGCTTGAATATGGCATCGACATCACTGCATTGCCTCTAAATCGGCTGATGATTTTATCTCCGTGAACAGTTTTAAATCATCTGCGTACTGCAAACATTTCGAGTATGCGACCACTGTTGGGAGGTCATATATCACAATCAAAAAGAGCAGAGGGCCAAGAATCGATGCTTGACTGACACCTGAGCCTGTGTAGGTAGGGTCTTGACTTGTAGGTCTTGACTCGTATATACCGAGCCTGAGCTGTCGCAAAGGTTATCTGTAATTAACCGAAGAAGACCTGGGGCAAAGTCAAAAATCAAACGCCTTTCGAAAGTCAAAATAGAGGATAGCGACCAGGTACTCCCTGTCAATACGTGCGTACACAAGAGTCAAGAGATTTGTGGTCCACAGATTTTTACTCCGGAAACCGTGTTGTTCATTGCATAAATACCTTTCCACCTGGACGTACAAGTAACTGATACTGGCATTTCCCATTATAGCCTCTTACGACACCCACGGCACGAATAGGGAAGATGGATTCATTGGCGAGTTTCAAATCATTTACTTTGACTACAGGACTTAATTTAACACTGTTATAAATATAAATACCAAAAATACGCAAACTGCTTTTTGTAATAAACCTCGTTTTATAATAAGACATAATTTTAAAGATCACTATGCAATTTCCTAACAGGTTTTAGATCAGCTGTCCAGTATTATAGCGAGCTACGTAATAGTTCCCAACCCACCGGAAGATCTCCAAGTGGTGCCAGATGTTCCACTGGAGGAGGAGAAAGATGAGAAACCAACAAACGCACAGTCAAATGAAGTCGATAGAAAACCATTTATCACTATTCCAGACAGTGGTGGAGAAAGGACGCCTAATACCAATGTAAGATGTTTTACTCAAGCTTAAAACGTATATGACCTTACTTATTACCGTTGATTGTCGCTTACTCATATTAAGTGTTAACTATCTATCCTGTCTCTTTCTATTGTTATTTAGTGAAGAGAGAGAGAGAGAGAAAATTTTTAAGCATTTCTAAAATTGACTCCAGTTTTTATGAATAAGGCCTTATGTCCTTTTTTATGAATAACTAAATTGATTTCATAATTTTAGATATTGATGTATTTATACAAATATCTTCTGTAACACTGTTATAATTCTTTTTGGCTCTATAGATAGTCTTACCGCTTTATATAATCTAAGAGCATAGAAAGATCCATATTATGCCTATAATATCCTTGTCATCTTCCATCTAACTAATAAAAGCTGTGTCAATAAGTTATAGCAATATAGCACACAGTACACCTGATGGTAAGTAGATGCTGTGGCCCATAGACACTTATTTCTATCCTATAATAATAATTAAAATGCCTCGTTGGTCTAGTGGTTGTAGTAGTGCGACTGCTGAGCATGAGGTCCTGGGTTCGAATCCCGGGTCGGGCCAAAAAATTATTTATTGAGTTTTTCCATCAAGAAATTCTCAGTAGTTGCCCGGAGTCAGGAAGTCGGCGGTGTCTCACCCCCGTGCCTCGGAAAGCACGTAAAGCCGTTGGTCCTGCGCCTGATCTCTCTCCGGTCGTGTCGGTTTACCGTCCCATCGGATTATGAGAGTGAGGGAATAGAGTGCGCCTGTGCTTGCGCATACACTTGGGCACTATAATCCTGTCCTACGCCGATGGCTAGCCTCCATTGAGACAGGCCGCCGTAGCCGAAATTCGGTTTGAAGGACATTATTATTATTAATTAAAATGCGGATGCGTTGTCACCCCTGAGGACTAAGGTGGAATGACCCATTACCATTAAAAGGGTCTCTGGTCTTAGTCACCCAGACAAAACATAGTGGCAATATGCTGCTTTTTACACTGGTATTCCGTTAGAGCGGGTCCCACCATGGTCTAGTCAACCCTTTCGTGCTGCAGCCATGATACGCTGTAGCGTGGCTCTATCACATAAGATAAAATTTACTTTAACATATCATCGTATCCTCTTTTGTAGGAGGAATTGGGAGTGTTTTGCGTCCCTTTACCGGATTTCTTTGCCCTGAATTTCCCATCATCAAATCGAGTGCAACAAAATGGAATCATAATACAGCCCTCACACGCCACCATCGATTCATCATCGATCTCATCACCCAACAACAATCAACGCCAAATCACAGTTCAAAGAATAGGAAGAGACGCGAGGCCCCTGCTACCTTGCGAGATAGCGAGGTATCAACACATGTTTGCTTCCAACCAGCGTGCAGAAAGTTCTAGAAGAACAGAAGTTCAAAACTTTGTCCCGGAACGCCCAGAGAGTTCAAGGCTGAGAACACTTGCCCAAAGGATACCTAGACTGAATGCGATCGCTTCACAAAGTTCGTCCTCGGATTTTAGAGTAATACCCTGGTCTGAAAGATCACGACTACAAATCGATCGGTCTTGGGACCAAGACTACATTCTTAGATTACCGGTTTTAGATATTACTAGAATGCCCAACAGAATTATGAACCCCCCTCCTGTGCATACGATAAACCCTGAAGCGGTAGTTAATAACCCTAGACCGCCTGTGGACAATTCAGAACTTGATTATAATTAGTGTTTTACAATATTATATTAACGAAATGTATAGTTTTTATGAGACTATTGTGTGTAATCCGACTAAAACCGACTAAAACTACAATGGGGCCGGCCATTACCTAACTTTATAAGTATGGTCTGCACAAAAATGTTGTTGCTAACATAATGTTAATACTGCCAAAAATATGTTATTTTTCTATTAGTGTGGTTACTTTACATGGAAACAATATTCTTAGTGTGTGTCAATAACAATGTGTTGTGGCCCTGTAACCATATATATAACTGTAATTACTACTCTGTGGTTGCAAAATGTTCATTTGTTTCATAAATTACAGTCTCTAACAATTTTGTACTCTGTACACTGATGTACATATAATTATTATTATTATCCTTGGCACATAATTATTATTATTATTTAGCAGGGATGGGAGATATGATAAGGATATAGAACGACGAGTGAATGCGGGAAATAGAGTAAATGGGGCCCTGCACTCTATTGTGAAGAGTCAAAATGTGTCAAAAAAGGCACGTATGGCAATTCACAATGCTGTGTTGGTCCCTACTTTAACGTATGGTAGTGAAAGTTGGGTGTGGCAGAAGAAGCACGAGAGTAGAATCAACGCAGTAGAAATGCGGTCCTTAAGGAGTATGTTAGGGCTGAATCTGAACGACAGGGTAAGAAATTGTGTAATAAGAGAAGAGTGTGGTTTGCAAGATGATGTTGTGACCAGGATTAAGAAAGGAATGCTTCGGTGGTTTGGTCATGTGGATAGAATGAATGAGGAAAGAGTGACAAAGAAAATTTATGTTGCAGAAGTGAATGGCAGAGTCGGAAAGGGACGTCCTAGGCGAAAATTTATCGACCAAATTGGCGATTTATTGAAAACGGGCCAAATTAGGAATACCCTTAACCGACGAGCATGTATGCGTAGATGTATGGATGTGAATGAGGCTAGAGAGGTGTGTCAGGGTCGTGCCAAATGGAAGTCTGTAGTCTCTGCCTACCCCTCTGGGTGCCAGGTGTGAGTGTTTATGTTTATGTTTTATGTATCCTTGGAAATTTTTTTTCCAAAGTATAAATGGGTATTATTTATATTATTCTTCTTTTTTCTTTTTTTGCACACAATTATTCTCAATCATACAGGAGGGAAGTTTTTTAATAGCTATTTTAAATATTGGTGTCGAATAGTCCAATTGTTATTTTAATTGTGTAAACAATTTGAAGAAAATAAATAAAAGTAAATCTCATACTCTAATCACGATGATGGCATTTCCTTGGCCATTTGCGCTCACAGCCTCAACTACATAACGATATCGAGAGCTATGAATTATATATAATTTTTTTTTATTAATTATTACAACAAACTGTCAGCTTTAATACTTTTATTATAAGTTTCTAAATTAAAGGTACTTCAAAATAATTATCTTAAAATCTATATTATTCTATAAAAAATTAAGCAACACATTTTATGCTTTTAATATTATCATTAAAATATTATGGTCGAATTATAATTTATATGTGATCACATGAACTTGTCGCTGTGATCGTAGTAACGGTCGGTAGTCATCATCAATATTATTTTCCATATCTAAAATTTCGATCTTTCAATGATGGCTGTAAGGAATTGAGAATCTCTTAAAATTGTCGATAATGTGACGTTAACGGAAATCCCTACTAAACCGTATAACTAATTACATTTTTCTAACTAATATAGCGTAAATGAATTAGCCAGTTGGGTTTCTTACTGTTGTCTGCTAGGACAGGCTTGTTTTGAAGCCTTGGTAAATTGAAAAATTAAAAAAAATTGTTCGGCTAACTGTGTACACACACACGTACGAAGTGAAGCTTTTTACGAAACATCATTCTTCTTTTATTTTATATTTTACATAAGTAGGTTAAATAATAGTCCCGACGGAGAAACGTTACAAGAAAACGTGACGTTTTTTTTAAGTTAAAACTTCTTTAGGCACGTTAGGGATTTTTTGATGGGGTGAAAAAAGCACTGAACTTGCGTGACCATCACGCTCAGATACACACGTAATTGTCTATATACTGGATGACCTTTTTTACCGTCTTGGAAAAAAATAGGGTGTAACATGTGAACAGAGTAGAAGCCTGTGGCACTGATATTTTACAAAAACTAAAAACAAACATTTTGTATTAAACGTTTGAAAACCTGTTTGAAAGTCAGTGAAGTGACAAGGTCAAAGATGCCTACTGAATTTATTGTTTTATTGGCGTTCGTAAAGTAGGGTGAATATGATTTTAATTAATTAATTATTGTAGAAAAGGTCATTCTATGTACATATATAAAGTTACAGCCTATATACGTCCCATTGCTGGGCACAGGCCTCCTCTCATTTCTGAGAGCGTTTTAGGGCAAGGAATAGTCCGCCACGCTGCCCCAATGCGTCTTGGCGAACTTCACATGTCTTCGAAATATTTTTTTTCTTATTTCTCAGACATGCAGGTTTCCTCACAATGTTTTCCTTCACCGCCGAGCACGTGGTAAATCAGCACTTAAAATTGCAGTTAACAATTTCATTGGTGCCGGCGGGGATCGAACGCGATTTGCTCGCATACTGTGGCGTTTAATGTATTCTCGGTATGTTTGAAAAAGATAAAATTATGAAATATTTTTATTTTTCAATACAGTCTCCCATGACATCAATACATTTACTTGTTTGTGAAAGAAGCTTTTCTATTCCCTTGAAAAAATATTCATGGTCTTACCCTGAAAAATGCTCATTAACAGCGGACTTGAGCTCATTATCGTCAGCAAATCGCTTTCCCCGAAGGTCTTTTTTAAGTTTGGTAATAAATAGTAGTCACTAGGGGCTAGATCTGGGTTGTGTGGTGGGTGGTTAATTTATTCAAACCCGCAGTCCCGTACAGTAGCCTTGGCCGCGCCGTGTGAAACGGTGCGTTGTCATGAAGAAGATGAAGCATTCCTTTGGTCAGCTTTCCTCTTCTCTTTTCTTTTATTGCTTCTCAAACGAGGGAAGGGGGTGAGTCCGATCCCTTTTTATGCCATTGCATAGACTAGTGTTTACTCTCAGGGTCAAAGTGGTGAACCCACGTTTCATCTCCAGTAAATATCCATCTAAAACACTTGTTGGGTCGTCACCACACAGCTCTAAAACTCCCTACAACAGTCAAGCCGCGCCTGTTTTTGAAGCGTAGTGGGCATTCGCGGTACCCATCTTGCACTGACTTGTGGGGTTGAGATAGTCATTAGTATGGTGACTGTGTACCGACGGATAGGTTAGCCATTTCTGCTAACATCGTAATTCTTACTCGTGCATCTTCTAATACAAGTTTTTCAATAATTTTCACATTTTATTCTGTAGCCGCTGTGAATTGGCCCACCCGGGCGGGGGTCATCTTCGATGCTTTCCCTACCTCTTTTGAATTCACTTGACCACTTCTGTACGGTTGATATTGAAGGAGCAGTCCTGGTAAACGGCCACCATTTCTTCATGAATATTTCTTGTTTAGTAAGAAAGTCGAGTCAGTCACACCCGTCGTCTATGACTGAAGGTTACATAAGAAGTAATGACGTTATCAGGACGAAATTTTATATTTATACCCTCAGCTGGGCTAGCATGGGCGAGAGATAATATATCCACGGGGAGAGGATAACATTTTTATCCCTTGCTCAGTTTTATCCACCCTGCGAGCATGGGCAGGAGACAAAAATTATATCCCCCGATTATATCCACTGACAAGAGATAAAGCTATCTTATCCCTATAGTGTATTCCCGTGTGACATAACGAGTAGACATATATCTCCCCGTCCGTAGCATGGGACCAAAGGAAAGAGAAAAAATTATCCCTTTTTGACATTAGAAAGGGACAATTCTATCCTCGTTCATGGACGTGGGTTTAAGTTTATCTTCAAACCTTTTTAATACAAAGAAAGAGTCTCGAGCCTAATACAACTACATTTTCGTATCAGAAATTGAAAAACAAGAAAGAAAAATACATCGGCGATCGATACGTGATCAGAGTACTTAATTATAATAATTAAAGTAGGATAATAAAAAAGTGGACCTTATAGCTATACTAAATCTAATATATAAAATTAACAACGTGCAGAGATGTTCTATCAAATATAGAATAAAAGAGGTTGGGCATGAAATAAAGTTAAGAGAAAAAAAAATGGATATAAATCAATGTATCCTTAACTATTAAAGTGAACGACAATTTCATTTTTTTGAGCTAGCATTTACGGTCTAGCTAGCCACTACACACAAAACAAACTTATCACGGAATGGCAAAAAGAGATATGTTTTGCAAAAAAAATCACTACCTTAAAAAACTGCTTATCTGAAAAATTTGAAATTTCACCCACAGTAAGGGCATGAGTTTATCCTCTATATACAAAAAAATTAAGGAGGGTCGTCGCTCAAAAAAAAAAAGTTAGTCCAAACTTAAAAGATGTGGGGGACACCAGCTGCAAAAGTGTGGTTATTCCGAGGATATACACTTCCGGCTGATGATGCATATATTTTCGGAAAGAGCTTTTCGGGACGCTGCGAGCGACACCTACAATTCCAGCCGCAGACTCCTTGTTTGCGAAATCACCTACCCCGTGGTTTTCCTCTAATAACTCGGGTGTCCTTTATCCAAAAATTCCAAATTTTTTGAGGATGTGTCCCCAGGTGACGCACAAAAATGATTAAAAAAATAGCAGGTTGTGGCGAGCGCCGCACGCGATTTACTGTTTTGCTAATATGAGAAAGAGTTTAAGTTTTTCACTTGAAAAATCGCTAGACTGTTTTGCGGCTAACTGCGCGCTAAAAACACTAGATGCGTCTCGTTAATACGCAAATTTTGACACTAAGAACACTGAAATTCGTTACCTTTTGACCACTTTTCGAATTTTTAACTGCGGTAGCGTCACAGTTTTTTAGGCGTTCCTCTTTGCTTCCTTGTACGCGCGGGGATAAGTTTATCTCCTATTTTATCTACTGTGGATATTATATCCACTATAGGCCCATGCTCGCAGGGTGGAT